CTGGACAGGTCGAAAAGCGGCCTATAATCAATTGAAAGTGTTTGGATGCCGAGCTTTCGTGCATATCCCTAAAGATGAAAGGGCAAAACTTAATGCGAAGACAAAAGAATGCATCTATCTTGGTTCGCCGAGATGTGAGTTCGGGTTCCGACTTTGGGATCCAATCAATAAGAAGATCGAGAGAAGCCGAGATGTGATCTTTCATGAGCATGAGAACATTCATGACATCTCAAAGCCCAAATTCCGAGTTACTGTCAGACGTGAAGAACCCATCCCTCCTGTCCGAGCTGAAGCAGGGGGAGAAAATCAAGAAAATGAAGAAAATGATGATCAGCAACAAGCTGAAGATGACCAAGACACTGATGTCCGAGTTGATGATGAGATCCGGGATGAGAATGATGAACCGGGTTCTCAAGCTGAAGAACAGCCGAGATATCCAACTCGAGAAAGAAGACCCTCTACGAGATACCCATCTGATGAATACATCGTTGTTGCTGAAGACGGTGAGCCTCAGAGTTATGATGAGGCTGTGACGAGCTCAGAAAAAGAAGAATGGGAAAGGCAATGCAAGACGAGATGAAGTCTCTGCACGAGAATTAGACTTATGAGCTGACCGAGTTGCCTAAAGGAAAACGAGCTCTGAAGGACAAATGGGTCTACAAGATTAAGAATGAAGAGAACGGGCAAAAGCCGAGATACAAAGCCCGGATTGTAGTGAAAGGCTGCAATCAGAAGAAAGGAGTAGATTTTGAGGAGATTTTTTCTCCTGTAGTGAAAATGACCTCGGTCCGAACTGTGTTAGCCATGGCGGCTTCAATGGACCTCGAGGTAGAACAAATGGACGTGAAGACGACATTTCTTCACGGTGACTTAGAAGAAGAGATATATATGGAGCAACCTGAAGGATTCCAAGCTCCAGACCAAGAAGACTTGGTATGTCGGTTGAAGAAGAGCCTCTATGGCTTGAAGCAAGCACCTCGGCAGTGGTACAAGAAATTTGAATCATTCATGATTGATCATAAGTTTGAGAAGACAGATGCCGACCATTGCGTATTTGTAAAGAGGTATGAGGCCGGAGATCTTTTGATCTTGTTGTTATATGTTGACGACATGCTTATTGTAGGGAAAGACAAATCGAGGATAGCCGTCCTGAAAAAGGCGTTGAGCTTGTCCTTCGCAATGAAGGACCTCGGCCCTGCAAAGCAGATTCTCGGAATCAAGATCATCCGAGATAGACAGAAGAAGCTACTGTGGCTGAGTCAAGAGAAATATATTGAGAAGATTCTGAAGAGATTTAGCATGGACAAAGCCAAAACAGTGGGCACTCCCCTAGCCGGACACATAAAGCTGAACCAGAAGCAATGTCCGAGATCTGATGAAGACAAAGATGAGATGATGAAGGTCCCATACCAATCCGCTGTCGGAAGCTTGATGTATGCAATGGTTTGCACTAGACCCGACTTGGCGTATGCTGTTGGAATGGTAAGCCGGTATTTGTCAAACCCCGGCAAAGAGCACTGGGAAGCAGTGAAGTGGATCTTCAAGTACCTCTGAGGTACGACCGACTTATGTCTCTGATTTGGAGAAGGCAAAGCCAAGTTGCAAGGCTACTCGGATTCTGATTTAGGGGGAGACGCCGACTCGAGGAAGTTGACTACAGGATATTTCATGAGATTTGTCGGAGGAGCTGTCTCTTGGCAATCAAGACTTCAGAAATGTGTTGCACTATCAACAACTGAGGCTGAGTACATTACCGCTACTGAGGCAAGCAAAGAGATGCTGTGGATGAAGAAGTTCCTCATGGAACTCGGCCATGATCAAGACAAGTACGAGCTGGGTTGTGACAATCAAAGCGCAATCCATCTTGCGAAGAATTCGACCTATCACTCCCGCACTAAGCATATTGATGTAAGGTATCACTGGATCCGGGATGTGGTGGAAGGTGGAGAGCTCGAACTCATCAAGGTGCACACTGACCAAAATTGGTTCGACATGATGACAAAGTCGGTTCCAGCCAGAAAATTTGAAGACTGTTGTGAAGGAGCCGGATTGATGCTGAAGCCGACGCATTAAAGTCGGAGGGGAAGATTTGTTGGGCTTCCTCCTTCAATGCTAAGCCCAAGCCCATTTAGGGGTTTCCTAAAAATCCTAACCCTAATTTCCACATCCTCCATATATACTCATTAGTTGTGGGTGGAGGCTAGGTCAAATTTGAGAGAACAAATTTGAGAGAAAAATTATTTGATTGTTTGAGTAAAGCTTTATGCTTTGCATTTGAGAGATCTCTAGAGAGAGTTTGAGTGAAACATCTCTAGAGTAGTTTGATTATCACCATTGTTGGAGAGGTTGAGTTAACCACCACATTGGTGTATCTGATTATTTGTAACCATTATTTTCATAGTGGATTTCTGATCTGGACTAGGTCCCGTGGGTTTTTACTTCTTCATTGGAGAAGGTTTTCCCACGTTAAATCTGGTTGTGTTCTTCTTCTCTCTCTCTCTCTCTCTCTCTCTCTCTCTCTCTCTCTCTCTCTCTCCTGTTTTGTGTTTTTCGATTTGATATTTCCGCTGCGCTGCCTGACCTGGTGAAATTCAGGTCGAGGTATTGCAGAGATCCGAGATCAGGATCTTGTTGATTGACTTCCGCACAAAGACTGCTTAGCCGAGCTTGAGGGAACCGAGTTCCCAACAAAAGCCTCACTTTTGGTATTCATTTTCATACAGGGATGTGATGCCTCAATTTTGTTGGACTCCAACTACCTTACTTCCAGCTCTGAAATGATTTCTTCGAGAAACTTTGGCATCAGAAAGCGGGACACGATCAGTCACATAAAGTCAGTATTAGAAGAAGAATGTCCAGGACAGGTGTCTTGTGCAGATATCATTGTATTAGCTGCTAAGGAATCAATGTCTTTCTCTGGAGGACCCCATATTCAAGTCCCGCATGGAAGAAAAGACTCTAGAAAATGTAGTTTCAAGGAGGCTGATGCTGATGCTGATGCTGAGCTTCCTTCCCCAACAATAACGGTTGATGAATTTTTATCCATTTTCATGTCTAAAGGAATGAACATTGAAGAATCTGTTTCCATTTTAGGTAATGCATGCCAACCATAAATAAGTAAGCTAAGTTTATTTGGGAAGGCTTAGTAAAACATTGAAGAATCTCTCTGTTACAGAATATAAATTGCCCATTCTGATACTAAGGAGTTTAAAACTGTTAACCGAAAGCCAAGGCCAGGAATAGTTTTTGATATGATGATATTATTACTATTGACAGGAGCGCATACGCTAGGTGTTGGACACTGCTTAAACATGGCTGGCAGATTGCATGATGCACGGCCAAGGGACAACATGGATTTTGAGTTTGAAGCCTCACTAAGAATGGCATGCCCAACTGAGATTCCTCTGACAAACCTCACATTTGTGCCTAATGACATGACCCCGTGATATTTGACAACCACTATTACCGAGACATTATAATGGGGAGAGGCTTGTTTGGTATTGACGCAAGCATTTCTAGACATCCCCGAACTGCACCCTTTGTCATGCGGTTTGCTATGGATCAGAACTACTTCTTCGAGGCTTTCTCATCTGCATTTGTTAAGCTATCTTCGACCAATGTTCTCACAAATGGGCACGGTGAAGTCCGAAGGCAATGCAATGCAACCGGGTAAACTAATGGAGGGAATGTTTTGTTTTGTAATATGTTCTCTAAGTATATATAAGGAAAATTACGATGCATGTACAACTAACTACAAGGCTTATCCAACGCATATGCCGTCTAACTGTAAAACCCTAAAGATTTATCCACAAACGGTTTCTCCATTATCATCTTTCAAGTTTAACTGTATGGTAAGATGAAAATATAAATAATCTGTAGAATTAAAAAAGATTAACGCTTTTCACCCAAAAAATAAAAATAAAAATAAAAATAAAATAATGCTGCTGCCAAATGCAGAATTAAAGCAGGCAAGAGGTCCACTCAAATTTACGTTCCAATACAGATATTGACATTATGCTTATGTCCCATTCTCCGTGCATGTGCTTGCGTTTTATATCACTATCAAGCTAGTAAGGGAAAGTAAAGGCTAAACTTTTAACGAGCTTCAAACTTTAGGGCAGGGTCCCCACAATTTCTAACCTGTAGTTGGAAGCTTCAAACCCCAATATCGTGGGTCATTGGAATAGAAGGTCATTCTTCCACCTTTTCTCCGTTGTCACTTCTCGCGATTTCGGATCCATCGATTCTCCCACGTCCTCTCCCAACGGTGGTCCCCTTATCTTAGTCACTATCCAACGTTGCTCTCTCTTCAATTTGTAAAAACCAAGTTAGGGATGAAGATGGATTTCTCACGTACTCTGCACGTAAAAAAACCATTTTATTCCACATTTGAAATTCCAAGACATCCTTATGTCATGATCATTTTTGGATGCAAGTTTAACTAAAGGCCCGGATAAATAAGGCTTGATTCCGGACGACAGAGCTTATTTATTTTTATTTTTTTAGAGATATTTCAATCTATTCATCGCTTCGCGACTAGTTCAACTCAAGACGGATCCCAGAATTAAGATTATAAATCCCTTCAATGTACTTTTATCTTCAACAAATAGTCCGCGTTCAATGCGGGGCGGAGCATATGGTTGCCTGATTGGTTAAATGTCATTAATGAGAATAGTAATTCTCTATTCTTAACAGGTCTACCTTCATCCGGCTTAGTTACACCAAATAAAAATAAAAAAAGTAGTTTCCGCTTTCAAATTCTATAAAACCTAGTATTGAAGAAAATCAAACACATATACTCACCTGCTCAATTATATGATGCCAGCTGAATTACAATCACTTAATATCAGAACACGTTTTCACATGCGCCAAGATACCCTCCGCTTTTGTTATAAACTTATAATGTTATTAAAATAAATTGGTTACGCATGTAGCGGGGCATCAAATAAATGATCAAAGCTAGTTGGAAACCAATTATGGCTTTTCTATTAAGTTGTCATTTGGCAGACGTGTTACAACGAGATAAAACATAGCATATAAATATAACGTAGAATAAGACAGACAGATTAAATAGTAGAACGTTTCACAAAAGGGAGTGATTCTCTCTCCGTATCAAACACTACCTAAGTTATGCACTTCTTAAAATTGAACATAAATTATTAACAGTCATATGGGGTGAATACTTGGCTTTGCTGTCACTTTCTATCCAAAACAAACTTGACAACTCCAGCCAAAGCTACCTTCTTGGGAGTGGATGCAGGGCCGTTACTAAGTTATGCGCTAAGAAAATTGAAGGTTGACTGTTGCTTCCTGTAGAAATGTACACAGTATGAAAGTAGCTACTGTACACCAACCTTGATGTTTTTATGGTCCAAAACAACATTCAAGATCTTGCCCGGAACGTAAATTCTCTTTCTGACAGATTGACCTTGCAAATACTTGGATAGCTTTTCATCCCTAGATGCTAACGCGAAAGCATCGTCCTCTGTACATGTTTCTTCAACCTGGATAGTACCTCTTGTCTTGCCATTAATCTGAACTGGGAGGACTATCTTGGAATCCTTTAAGTAAGCAGGATTTGCCTGCACTTACAACATATAACAGACATGGTTACTGTTTAGTGTATAATATGGAACTCAGTACACATGATTAAAACTCAACCTTGGTAACATTTCACTATGAAGAATCCAAACTTTTTCTGCTACTTAAGTATCAAAGCCATGGATCTTCTTCACAACCCCAGTCCGGGTATTTAAATAGTAGCCAATGTAAATGACTTATATTTCATTATATTAGCTCAACTCAACAACTCTAAAGGAAAATTAGGCTAAAAAAAAAAAATTACCATGAAATGTTGGGGGAAAAAAAATTATAATCGCATGAAATATTGGCTTTTTTACCATACAATTGGAAGCAGGAAAGTTTTTTCCACTTACGTGTAACTTCCAAATTATTTACTTCTAAAGTTTAAATTCTACAGTAACTAGGAGTCAATGGCATGACTTGTAGCAAGTCATAGCACACAGCCAGAACTAATAGCGAATGGTTGATCAGGATCCTCTCATCTTCAGTTCCCTCATCATTTCACCATGGAGCATTTTTCTTAATGTACAATCACTAAATTACATTGACAACACAATAATTTTGCAGATGGAGGAATATAGTCTGGTCATGCATACATCAATTAACTAGCTACTAAGTTCTGCACAGGGATGGATCCACATTTGCACTCACTCATTTTTTTAAACTTTCATTTTCAGAGCAATTGCTCCACTCAATTTAAAATATTTTCATTTATTATATATAAAAAAGTTTCTCTCCCACAAGCTTAAATGAGAATCTGTAACTTAGTAATTATTTAAGTAAGAATGCATAAATATATTTTTTTATTTCAATTTTTCTTGTATAAATTTCTAATTTATTTTTTAAATTTCAAGCTAATGCATGTTTCAAATTTATTTTGTTTTCTTAATTTTAATTAAAATCAACCATAACATAAAACTTAATTTAATCTTTTCTTAAAATTCCAAGCAACTTAAAATTTTAAAATGTTCAAAATAACCAAAAAAGTTCTTCCTGAATCCTAAAGAGAAACGACTTGTTGCAAATCATATGATTTATAACTTTACATATCATAAACACACACACTTGCTATAAGTTGTGGCTGTGAGCTATGACTTTCTGAAAGTTGTGCCACTAATGCTCAGCCACAATTTGTTTTTTGTTAGTGTGAAATTTATACCTATGGTAGAAAAACCTGAAATATTTGTTCTGTTAATCGGTGGAATTTTCTATTTCTTTTATCGATAGCATACTATTTCCAATAACTACAGAACAATATTCTACGGGTGTGAAATGTCTGTGTCAGGTCATTGGAATAGTATGCTATCGATAAAAGAAATAGAAAATTAAGACGCACAGAACCTGACAAGTAATTAAAGAGTAGGATTGGTTTGGTATGGACCCAAATTCATACCTTAGGGAAAGGCTCGTAGGCCAATGATTTTGTGTGCCCAAGCCGAGACCATAGCTCCTCAGCCATGTGTGGTGCATATGGTGAAAGCAGCAAAACAAATGCCTCAATAACTGATCTTGGATGTTTATCCCACTGAAAATATACGCCCAAAAAAATATAGAGATCACACTGATTCTCTGTAACAATAGGTGGGGAGGAATTTACTGCTTATTAATAAGAAAAGGATACTGAATGAAAAATATAGAGAAGTCTAGTTTTCTAAAAACAGACCCAGAGCAACTAAATACAGTGTAAAATGTCACCCCAAATAGGCTTGGGTTTCAAAGTTTCTTTCCATAAATAAATCCAGTCCCAAATCTTAGGTGACATTTGGTTTGCTAGAATTAGGGTCAAAGGAATGGTAATGGAATGTAAATGAGGCGAAAGTGTGAATGATATCAACTACTGAAATGAATGTCATTTCGTCCAAATAAGATAATATCATTCACTACAAATTGGAAGGAATGGTCATTTCAAGGCCATTCCTGGAATCATAAGTTCACTGCCACCACCATTGCTACAGCCCCCGCATTGCAATTGCCATCACCACACACCATCAATTGACACGCTGCTTCCTCCACTGCCACTATATCAATACCATACCACCACCATCCACTAACCCTGCTGGCGCCGCAATGACCATCTCTGCCATTGCCACAACCACCATTAACTATTATGTAAGAGTACTGTTGCCATTATGCAATTTTTCTTTTCCATTCCTGCTTAGAATCCAGCATATCAAACATTGAAATGGAAAGGAATAGTCATTCCATTATCGACCATATCAAATGACACCTAACTTCCCCGCCCCAGAAAAATAAAATAAAAGGAAAAAGAAAGTTTTTTTTTTATGTGGTGGGGGGAGATATAGAATGAAGTAGAAAACACAAAAGTACCTTATATGCTGCATTAAGGAACTCCATCATTGCAGAAATTCCAGTGTTGAACCGTGTGCCCTCAATTTCCTCTGTTACCTGAATACTGAGATTAAACTCTTAGCTCAATTGTCTCAAATCTGCAAGTTAAATACAACCATAAAATGGAAACTATAAAACTCTGATTAAAAATTGAGATATTGACCTTGGCAATGCATCTATGAAGACAACGAAGTTGTTCAATAGTAGCCTCCTCATCAACTGATACAGTTCTATCCTTAAATGTGCCATCAGACAAAGGTAAACCAACAATCAGCCTCCAAGATCTTCCTAAAAACCGATGTACACCTTCAATGCCACTAGTACTCCATGTTTTTGAGTCTCTGGGAGCATGTTGAAAGGTAAAATCAATGAGAAAAGTAATGTAAGGTTGAAATCCACATTATAACAAGTACTGCAACTTCATAGTCCCAAACTCACCCAAAGAAAAGAATAGAAAAATGGGGAGGGGGGGATAGAAACAGAAAGTAGTCTTAATTAAGGAGCAATCACTACAATATGCCATTAGAAATAAGGTTCGTGATCAAACCTACCTCAACGGTCCCATGAACATTTCATATAAACGAAGAGAATCTGCACCGTACTCAGAAACAACATCATCAGGATTAACAACATTTCCCCTACTTTTACTCATTTTGTGAGCACGGGCAACTAAACGTATGTCAGGGTTTTCTTTCAGGTAAAAAGAATCCCCGGACTTCATCACCTACACTCAAGGAAAAAGAAAATAAATTCTTGTCAAGAGAAAAGAAAATTTAGGTTCAAAAGCTTAACTCTGACAGTTAACGGATGCATTGAGAAAGAAGTAGAATCTTAATTGAGAAACCTTTTCCTCAGGAATTCTGTCTAGATTATGTTCATTCAACATATCAGTTGAATCAGCAGAAATCAGATTTCCATCTTGATCCCTACAAGCCATGTATTGAACCTGCCACATTACAAACTTGTTACAATTAGTTATTTACCCCCCCCTAAATTTTCAAGCAGAAGAATAGACATTACCTCCCCAAGGATAATCCCCTGGTTTATGACACATTGGAAGGGCTCCTTGGTGGATACAACACCAATGTCGAAGAGGACCTGAGATATAAAACTTGAATTAAATCTGCACAAATATTGCATCAAAACCTGAGAAAATGTTAAAGGGAATTTAATGGCTTGTTGAACTCATTCAAACCCCTGATTGGTGGATTTCCCAAACCTTCAGTCAACAGTCAACCATGTCATCAATTATTTATTTAACTGCTAGAAGGATTATTTGATTTCCTTTTATGATTACTTTAATTACAATGAACACTTTCATTCCCCCATACACTGGACAAACAAGTATTAAAAAATGGTTAAATCACAGTCTTCTCTGATTTTACAAGCACCAATATAACTACAGGTAGGCTTGTAATTTCTATCAACAATTTAAAAAGAACATTATAGCTTAAAAAAATTAAATTAACAAAGCCAATCTTTGGTGCTATCTTTTCACATCGAACATGGTCACGGAGGAACTAAAATATATTGCATTAAGAATGCTGGCTTTATAACAACCCAAAGCACACAAGTCCTTTACTATTTGAGACTCATCAAACAACATTCTTACTAGTAGTCAGCTAGTCATAGATATCATGGAATAAGAGAGGCAGGGATATAGCTGTTCCACATGGAGGTTGAATTCATATGGCTTAGTGAAACAAATCACAAATCAACATGCCCCAAACTGAGACTCACATAAAATACATACCTTGTGCCAGAATCTAGCATACAGTAAATGGAGAACTGCATGCTCAGCACCCCCGACATACACATCAACAGGGCCCCAATACCTGCAGGAGAAGAACAATTTTTAAGCTAGGAAATTAAATCATTTAGAAATTGTGAAAGTAAAAAATAAGAAACAACCAGAATTAGATGAAGTTATACCTTTCTTTTGTCTTATCAACCAATTCTTTGGAATTATTTGGGTCCATAAATCTCAAATAGTACCTGGGCAGAAAAATAAAATGTGACATATGATAAGCACACAAAGAGTAATTTAATTTTTCATCTGTATCTAATGCATAAAAATCCTGAATCAAAACTACCAAACTTGGCGACCAAAACACCACTTAGTGCTTACTAAATAAATCTAATACTGCTCAAGATCCTCCCCAATGCCTTACCAGCATGAACCAGCCCACTGTGGCATGGTATTTGTTTCCCGTGTAGCTGGTCTTCCAGATAAACTATCTGTGGTCTTCATCTAAAACAGTGATACCAGCCAAGAAATAAAGTAGAATAATTAAAATGGGAGCAAAAAATTAGCTAAGGAAACACAAACAGAAAAATCATAATTATCGAAGTACTATAACTTATGTCGTGACAAAATGATTTTATACTACTATAAACTTTTAAGAGAGTATATGCCCTGTTACAACAGGCATCTATTTCCTCTTAATTTAGCTCAGTTTAATTTTTTGTTATGTGACTTATGCATTAAGAAAATAAGAACTGATATAGGCAGAATATTCCTACTCAGAAAAAAAATGTTTAGCCAGCATATAAGAAGATAGGTAGATATGCAAAGCAGCTCATGCAGACATAAATAATGACCTGTGGTGTGACTGAGTTTCTCTTCCTGTTACAAAAGGTTTTAGGGAATGTAAAGAAAATAGTTCCTTCAAAGCTACTTTAAAATCAGCACATAAATTTCTCCATATAATGCCATTTGCATCAAAACTATAATCGTACCGAGATAAGGCAATGTGATAGGATATGGCAAAATATCAAAGTAAAACGCAACGAAACACCAACAAATGGCCCAGAGAACTGGATTTTCTTTGATATATCAGTAAGAGAAAGTATAAATTACAGAGACAATTCAAAAGTAATGAAAGAAGAAAGGAAAAATACAATAAAAGCTAAAATATTTTCTGGAGCAATTCGAGAGGCTCCAGATTTCTCTCCCAATCTGGTTTCCCAGCCCAAGTGTGTCCAAATCCCCAATCTACCTCTACATGAGCCTTACCCCTAATATATAACAAACTCCCCTAACAGACTTGCACAACGTTCTCACTAGTCCACGTCAGCACCCACTCTCTACTTCTAAAAGACTTATCATCTAGAATATTCTTTGCAATAGGTGAGTCAACAGATAGGGGTTGTATCACAATGATTCAATCTTTAACTAACATTATTAGAAATGGACCCGGCGATCATGTCGTGATATGCAAGGAAAATATGAATTCATGAACTAATACATCATACCGTTATCAAACAGTCTTTTCAACTTAATGGTTAAGGTATAATAACAAGGGACTTAATAACTAAACAAGTCCAGCCAAGATTCAGGGTTGGCAGGCTCACAGTCCAAGGGGCCAGTCAAATCAAGATCAGTAACCATAAGTTAAGAAGAAGAAAGAAAAGCATTTATTTGTGTAAACTTACCCAAGACACTGCCTTAGACAGTGGAGGCTCCCCTGTTCCAGTGGGGGAAAAATCATCCAATTCAGGTAGTATAAGGGGCAGTTCAGTCTCATGCAGTGGGACAGTCTCACCACTGTCATCCAAGAAGATGACAGGGATAGGTTCACCCCAGTAACGTTGCCGAGCAAAAAGCCAGTCCCTTAATTTGTAGTTAATCTGAAGGATGAACAGTGTATTTTATATTATACAAACCATAAAAAATAAAATAAAATCTGATAAAACAAACAAGTTTATTATAATTTGAGACATGCACCTTCATCTTTCCATTTCCACTTTTCTCAGCCCAGTCAATGACTTTTAAAGCAGCTTCTTTGCTAGACAAGCCATTAATGTCAAGCCCCACCAATGTATTTGATGAATTTATAGTAATGCCTTCACCTGAAAAAGCCTTTCCAGACTCGTTGATACTTTTATCATTCGGCATCACAACCCAGCGAACTGGAACATCATATTTCAAAGCAAATTCATAATCACGAGAATCGTGTGCAGGAACAGCCATGATTGCTCCTGTTCCATAACTGCACCAGTAACAGCAATTATATTCTGGTGACATATAAACTTTTGAAATATTATTCTACACCCCATAGTTATGTCCAAGGCATATTGAGCAAAGAATTTATGCAATCTGCATTCTAAGTGAGACTAGTGTACACGTACCTCCCCAAAACATAATCTGCCACCCATATTGGAATGGCTTGCCCATTCGCTGGATTTTTGGCATAACAACCAGTAAATACCCCAGTCTTTTCCTTTTGAAGCTCAGTCCTCTCAAGGTCACTCTTCCTTGAGGCAAGGTCTATATAATCCTCCACCTGTGATTAAAAGCCCAAAGAATCACCATCTCCTTATCACCCATGACTCAAGCCTTCGAATATATTAGGCAATGAAATAGAACAGCTTACATGTTTGCTCTGGGCAGCGGAAACAAATGATGACAACAAGGAATGCTCTGGTGCCACAACTAGGTAGCTGAACACAAACAAAGCAAATAGGAAACTGATAAGAGTTTCTTTCAAGAGTGATTCTTCTGATTCATAGAATTTGTGAAATATATTAGAAAATTGAATAGATAAATACGTTGCTCCAAAGATTGTATCAGGCCTTGTAGTATACACAATAATCTTTATGTCTCGCTCCTTTCCATCACTATCAAGAATGCCAAATTCCAACTCAGCCCCTTCTGACCTCCCTATCCAATTTCTCTGCATTTCTTTTACACTTTCAGGCCAGTCTAGGTCATCTAAATCCTCGAGAAGACGGTCAGCATATGCAGTAATCTTGAGAATCCATTGCCTCATTGGCTGCTTGGTAATAAACAACCACACTGTAAAGATTATGAAACCATTCAAAAAATATAAGAGAAAAACCACCCAAATAAGTAAATTGTGAAATGAATAAATACACAATCCAGCATACCTTTCTTACTACAGGATGACCTCCCCGTTCACTGACACCATCAATCACCTCCTCATTGGCCAACACAGTGCCAAGCGCAGGGCACCAATTAACTGGAACTTCAGCCTGAATTTTTTATAGGAACACCATAAGACCTTCAATACTGAGGAATTAAATGAAATAAGGAAAACTTTTAAGAAGTTATCATACACTTAACCTGATATGCTAATCCTCTCTTTAAAAGCTGTAGAAAGATCCATTGAGTCCATTTGTAATATTCAGGTTCTATGGTAGATATTTCACGATCCCAGTCATATGAGAATCCTAATGATTTTAACTGCAAAGACGTAAGATGATATAACATGAATTTAAAACAAGCAATTTTAAGGCTAGAGCTGAAGATGACCATGTTTCCGGGGTAAACATCACATCAGAGGTATGGAAAGCTTTTCTTCTTCAATTAAGTGGAGGCCATTCAAATCACTTTCCAGTTTTTAAGGATAACAATCAGATGAACTATGTATTATGTAATGAAAGGATTAAATTGTAAAACATAAAGCCCTAATTATGATTCCAAGCACAGTTGTACTGGTTACTTTGAAGCTTATCCAGAAAATCAACGCCACAAATTCCAATATAATCATTTATTGAATGATTCATGCTTACAGCCTAACATAGTTAATTTAAAGCGTAAAGAATCTTCAGATGGCTCAAAGTTATTTACTGGCTCAAAATCAGCAGCAAGATTAAATTCTTGAACATATCTCTAGTTATTTAATAATTAAACAAAAGAATTACTGGTGTTCCTTAGAGTAAAAGTCTCACATCATCAGTTTATATTTACCTGAGCGCGAAAGCGATTGATATTCTTCACCGTAGTTAGCTTTGGGTGAGTTCCTGTCTGAAACACAGGGCAGCACATTAACAAGAAAAAGGAAAGTTATGACGAAATTCCAAAAGATTAATAACATACACAAGTCGGGTGAGAACCAAGAAACAGACCTCAATAGCATATTGTTCTGCTGGCAATCCAAAAGCATCCCACCCCATTGGATGCAAGACATTATATCCCTGCATGCGTTTATATCTAGCAAGAATGTCTGTGGCAGTATACCCGAGTGGATGACCAACATGTAGCCCAGCTCCACTGCAAGAATTAGTTGAACAAGCGAAACCAATTACAAATATTTTCATCGCAATTCACAAGAATCAAGAACTGCAAACGCAAAGAAACTAAAATTCAAAACCTAGGGTAAGGGAACATGTCGAGAACATAATATTTAGGTTTTGATGTGTCGATATCGTCATCAGGGGTTCGAAAAGTGCGATTCTGGTCCCAAAAACGCTGCCACTTGGGTTCAATTTCATGGTAAGGGTAAGCCCTATTGACCGCCTGCTGCGACGGCTTCTGCTGCTCCTTTACACTCTCTCCGCCATTTGTCGCCGAGCTACTAATACTGCGGCCACGATTTCGGAGTCTGAGAGCGGAAGAACGTCTTCTGATGGCAGTAGCAGGGAATCTTGGAGAGTGAAGCAGGGAATCTTGGAAGGGAAATGCTGATGCATAGGAGTGTGGTGAAAGCAAGTGGACATGAAGATGAAAATGAGTGTGCAGCATTTGGATTGTGAGAGAGGAACGAAGAAAGAGTGGCAGACAAGTGAAGAGAGAAAGTGGATAACGTGAAGAATAAAGATGGCGCTTAAAAACTAAACAACCACGCTCTTCGTCTAGTTTTCCCAACTGGGCCTATTATCATACGATGAATGAGATTGGGCTTGATTTAGTCGTAGCTTGATAACAAGTCCAAGGGAGTGTTTGGTAGGGGCTTTTGGTTTCTTTGCTCAGGCAACTTCAAATTGATTTTGAACTTAATTATGTTTGGTAGAAGATTTAACAAAATTTGAACTTAACCCATTTTGTTTGCAAGATTTCTTTGAAAACACTGTTTCAGAAACCCATATTGATGGTGGTATTTTGGGTTTGATGGGAAAAGAAAAAATTGAACATGAAATTGCTGACCAAATTGTCCTTCGTGTACTGTTGAAAATGTTTTTTAACCCAATTTTTCTGGTAAGATTTTTACCTACCAAACTACTTTTTTTAAATTTGTCTACCAAAATCACTTTCACACCATATGCCTATAATTGTATTTCTCTAGTAAAAAAAAATTTCTCATCTACCAAACACCCCCTTAATAACTCAAAAACCATTCATTTTCATTTAGTTTTGGGTAATTTATATTAATTGGGACAAATTGATAGATAGTTTTGGATAAGAGACAAAATAGTTATTAATTAATTAATGAAGGGCAAAATGGTCAGAAATCCAATACTATCTTTTAGTAAATTTCTTTTCTTCCACTTATTTTAATTTATTTTGATTAGATCGTTATACTTATACATCTACCCAGCTGTGTCATTATTTTTCTTACAGGTGACGTGGGACGACATTTTTTAAAGGAAAGGAAAGCCTCCGATTGTGTTAAAAATGTATATACTTATGCTGAATCTGAAGGAAAAGCAGAAGGTAAGATGAAACGAGAAAAATTATACACACAATCTAAATGATCAGTTTTTGGATAATTTACACTATTCCGTGGTGTAATGTCATGCACATCCTCTATGTGCTTCTTGGTATATAGATTTGAAAAGCATGTTTATCTACTTGGAGGCACAAATTCAATATTAACAAAATCCGAAATATTATCAAAGAATCTCTGCCTTATAGTCTGCACGTGGTACTTTTCATCCGCCGATAGCTTTCCCAGCTTATGCTGCTGCAAGCACATGTCCACTGATGTATGTAACCCATCATATATGTAAATATATGCACATCCATCCTAGTATGTCCGGTCAATAATGATGACATCATTCATTGGTCCATGATTTATGGTTCTGGATGATTTTGCAGAGATGGAGATGATGCACCACTAATTCTGCTGGGCAATGGTGTACTCCTTCGTGAATGGCGTTTTGTGGGCACAGTAACACTCTCAGTTTCCCACTTTTGACTCATTATCTCTTCCTCATCATCATCATCATCATCATCCATGCTAGCCTTAAAAATAGGATGAACATAGGCATTCTGAAGGTAACCTTTCAAGTTCAGGTTAGGTTCTGTAGCTCGTTCTAATGTATCTTTCATCATTGCTTCCTGTATATATACAAATTTACAAAAAAACATAAAAATTCCATGTGTGAGGATTATTAACCATCCAAATGATTAATTGATATACCTGTAAGGGATATTTAACAAATGCAGATTCAAAACGGCCTTTGCAGTATCTATGGAACCATATGGTCAGTATTGGGAGTGCAATGAGAAATGGAGTTGATGAAGCAGCCTTTTTGGTGGTCAGGAGTCCCATCAGAACTATCTGTGAGACTATCAGTGCAAACACGACTCGAAAATGGACATCTGGCCAGAATGCAGCACCGCTCTCATACTCTTGATTATAAACGTTGATTATCTGCAATTGGAAGGTAGAGAGTCTTCATCTTATATATGGAAACTAAAAATAGGGGACTCAAATTATACAATCATCCTTGACATGTACAATATAGTTCTAACATCCCAATACCTGATGACGGAACACAACATAGGCAAGCCCAAAGAAAATTATTATGAAAGGAAGAACAGAAGGTGTCACTGCAGCATAGACTAGACCCAGCAAAAAGTACAATTGTATACGTGGTTCTCCAGTATTGAAACCAATACTCCCAGGATCCATGGCCTCTTCCCTGTCCTTTTCAGTCTTCACCAAGAAGAAATTCTTCAAGTGATATATGATTAGTGGTTTCAACATCAAAACCTCTGCAGCTATACCGGCCCAACCATCAACCATTATATAAGTAATGAAGAAACTTGCTTTCAAAGGAATCGAAGTTCCAATTGTTACAGGATATCTGACAAGAATATTAAAAGAATTCTTAATCAAATTTATACGGTATAAATTAAGAGTAATGCGTGTAAACATATTTAGCTGTGAAAACTAACATCATGGTTCTTAAATAGCTGAAGCATATCCAGAAGTAAGAAAATTTTTCCCCTTTTATATATGGTCATATGACATTATATATTAAATTGATCATAGATACAAGGTTACCACAAATTTACATGTCCGTCCAAACTTTAAGGTGCAGCATAGCATATGTATGCACGCAAAACACAGAAAATATATGACAATTAAAAATATAAATATTTTGAATTCTAAGGAAAAACCATATGGTACTATTTGAATGACTTACTCATTGGCTGGTTGGTGAATGAAAGAGTCCAGCTGTTGAAATGCTGTTCCGGTAATTATGTTCCCAAGAAATACATTCACAAAATTGAAAAGATAATATCTAGAAGCTGATCTTCTCTCCAGAGATGATATAGATCCAAAGCCTTCGAATTTTGACATTATCATCAATATTGCAGGCAAAAAGATGAGGAAAAGCTTCAATACAATACCAGGTAAAAAACCTTGAATGAATGACTTAATGATAGGGCTGCACAATAAAGTAAATTCAAATAAGTATTCTCCAGTGATGCACGTGGATGGAATTGTATCTTCAGAGGTCCAACTATGAGATTAGACTTACACATTAATAAGTGGCTTCAACCATGGTGCTGCTTTTTGGATTCCATCAAGACTCGCAAAAGTTTGTACAATAGCAATGGGGATCATAAAAAAGAAAGTGAGAAAAAAGAATGCAACAGCTATGATCAACCTTCTGACAGTGAGGGAAACATATGGAATTGCCAAGTTTGACCAATAGATGTCCCGTGGCTCGGGAGCCCACTCAGTCAACCAAATTGTTGGATTTCTGGTTTGTTGAGTTTGTGCACAAACTGCAGCACCCCATCGACTTTTGAACGAAACAAATGCAGCGGGCATGATAGACTTGGGATCATTAGTGACCTTATCCCTCTCTAAAGCTATCTGCGAAAAATGATAAACTTGAATCACTGTAAGCATCATGAGAATTTCTAAGACAGAAAAGTCATGATACCACAATAAGACTCATGATTTCAACAGATATTATCCCAAGTGAAATTTTGTGTTAAACGAGTTCCTTCAGCATCTGTTCAAGTCTATTTGCACAAAGTTCAAGTGAACAATCAGAAAATTATCCATTGCAATAATAGATAAAGGCAAGCAGTCACGAAGCTGTTACATGAGGAAATAACTCTCTGAAAGCAGAATAATACTATTGCACGTGATAAAGATAAAAGATACTGGTAAAATTTTGGTATATCATAGTCTGTTTTGTTATATGTATTCTGCAAAATTAGCATTTGATATTCTGTAATTATTTTTCAATATATGACTGGCAAGAGAAAATTCATTTGGATGCAGAGGGGGGTAAAAGTCCTAACAGAAAAAGAAATATATATATATATATATATATATATGGCACTTACTTCTTTTGCAAGCTTGTCAATTTCAGTGGTATAATAATCAATAGCATCCACTTTCTTTCCACGAAGACCAAGGAAACCAGTCTGGTAAAAACATATAAGAGGGAAAGGTTGTGGGAAATCTGAAGATAATTATGACAAAAATTTGAAGGCATACCAGATTAATCTCAAATACCTTCATTTCAGGTCTTTTTGAAGTTCGTTCAAGTTTATTTTGATAATAGACAAGCCAATTCTGCAACTTCTTCTTCTTTTTAACAACCTTTGCTAGTCTGTTTGCATCATAAACAACCTGCAGAAATGTCACAATAAATATGCTGACATACGCTTTTTTGCCTCTCAAAGTCCCAAATGAAAAGCGGAAAATTAATTTGGCATAATAAACAATGTAATTCACATTTCATATACATCATTTCAGAATCAACGAGACAACTAGTGAATTTACCATTGCAGTAAAAAATGAAACTATCAAAGCAGAAACCACCAAATGCTTCTTAAATTCTTAATATCAGAATCAACGAGATAATTAATACAGTGTATAAAGGAGGAACCAACCTGGTGAGTAAGATAGTTATCTGGATGATTGACCAGAAAAAAGTGCTCCACAAGCTCACTTACAGATTCATCAGGATCTGGTGGAATGTTTCTAACGAGCACCTGAAAATAATATCATTTCTATAAGCAAAATATGCATGATGTAATCTCTCACATATCTCAATGCTAACACGTGACAATTTAGCCTAAAATTGCAATTTCCCCCAACCTGCGAAGTACAAAGATGCTGAAGGATTGGAGAGCTCTTCTGTATTAAAATTATGTTAGCTACAGCTTTGTTTTTTGCTTTTAAAAAAAAAAAATTATAAAACTTTTTCGTAATCCTTTTATCTTTCTTATATAATTTTCTTACATCTAAAAAGGCTGCATATAATAGTCATCACTTCATTGCTTTGCTTACTTATTTGTTGAAGCTAGGTTATTAATATGCTTGCCTAATGACTAGCAAGCAAATCCACACCTGTAATCTACAGAACTTTTTTAATATAGAAAATGTTAAAATATACAGTTGAGATCTACCAAGAAAAACGACTAACTAGAATACCACCTCTAACACAAGAAACATAAAATCAGGATTTCATTGCTTCATATCAAAGCTGCCCAAAACTGATAAAAGAGAGAACAGTTAAAAAAAACAGAGCAAAACGCATTATGCAACCAAGAAGTATTCCAGAAAAAAATTCCTCGCCAAAAATGGAGAAAAATCAATTTACCGTAAATTGATCCGGACGACGTTTTTCTGCTGCAAGAAATTGCAATCTCATTGAGGCAACTTTTTCATACTCCTTTAGCAAAATATAGCATGTCCAAAAGGTAAATGCATAAGCCATTACAATGTGTGCCCAAAACCTGAGGTAGAGTACAAAATTTTAGTACAGCGTGAGATTTAGTAGCAATTTAAGAAAAGCCAAATACTTTACAATAATTAATACAATCAAATACTGACATGAAGGCACCATAAAAGTAACTCTACAACTTTAACAAGTGATATTATGCATAAAAAAGGTATCGCTAATAATCAGATTGGAGAAGTAAGTGATGTTGTTTTAAGATGAGAAGAAAAAGTAATTAAGATATAATCAGAGAATCTAGAGAAGAGATGCAAAGCAATTAAGATTTTCATTGTAAATCAAGGTTGCACCTTGTTAAACACTAGACCTAAAGCCTCAACATAGTTAAACCATATATATTTTTAGGTCAAAAACACATCTTGACATGCAGGTACTTTGGATTTGAATATAATATACTAAACAATATCAAGAAGCGACAGCAAAACTGTAATAGCACTAATGACAGTGTCAAAACCTTTCAGATCCTTTATGGACATTTGAAATTGAGAATTTATCAATGTCACTAGAAGTTATGTTGTTTACTCCAGCTCCTTCTAGCCCAGTACTTGTCCGGTTGACAGGAAACAGAACTGCCCATGCCAGGAATGCTATAGGAACAAAGATTTTAAGTCTGCACCACGAAAACAGAAAATATTAGGATTATATTCTCTTTTGGGGATGTGGTATTCACTCATTGGTCATACCCTAGCAAGTAAATCCTCAAGTAAACAACAGAGTCCAATCCAGCATGATCAATAAGCTCGAGTTCTGGCATTCTAAGTGCAGCTGGCATCCAATTCAAAAACCTAAGATATGATCTCCAATCTAAATTGACAAACTTGCGCACAAATGCTCCTCCGTGTAGAGGATCTGTTCTTAAACCCTTCAGATACCATTTTGGGAAGTATACCCGATCATTGAAAGGTTGAAGCCTCAAAATAGCAAATGCCACAAAGAAAATAAATGCGCTCAAAATGTTTATGGCAGCTGCAACCCCAATATCTTGAAATGTCGCCATTTTCTCTCCCTTCTAGAAAGAATGCACGTCTTCCTGTTATGAAAAGGAATGGATAAAGGGGGTTAGATTGATACACAGCTAACTGCAACAAAACTCTAGGTGAAAATACCAAAAGATCATGACTTGCCAATAAAATTTGTATTTAATCTCATACTTTAATAAACATAAGCATAACTTGAAATAAGAAATTGTTAATAACTAGATTCTCATCTCTTTTTGAATCCTCTTTCCATTTTCTCTTGCACCCTAAATTTTGGACACCCAAAAGGAAAATAATTTATCAAGCGTTTCCTACAACAAATTTTACTCCGCTGGGTTCAAAACAGAGACACAACTAGAAAGTCTTTTTTACAGAAACAGAAAATTCATCGACTCCTAAAATAAGTTCCAAGATTTTCACATCAATTGGCATGCAAATCCTTCCTAGGACATGACAAAACAAGAAAAGAAACGGACAGAGCGGGGGGAAGGGGGAAAAAAAAAAAACAAAAAAAAAGGTCGTACTTTGTGCTTGTCGCTCACAATTCGCCCGAGGGAAAAAAAACCCCAAGTGTTGTTAAATCCACCAATGACAGAAAATCAGAGCTGAAGATCCAAAGTTGAATCAAAGGGTACTCGGATATCTTCGAAATGGAACGAAGGAAGAAGATTCCTCCACCGTTTTGTGGTGAAACCTCCGTAGAAGACACGCCACTTTCAGGCCCTTTCCTCTTGTACACACCAACTATCTTAAACAAACAAAAGCAAGAATTGAAATGAGGATTCACACGCTGAAATTGAGATTGGCTTCCATGGTAGGAAAGCTAGAAAGGAAAAAAGACAGTGTTGTTGTTTACTTGTTACATTACTGTTACACCGCACACAATGTGTGGACTATGGCTTTAGTTTATAAAGTGTGTGATTTTCTGAAAAAATTGGCTAATATAACATATTAATATTAAATATAAATAGGTGGTTAATTATTATTAATCGTTGAATACTAAAAAAATAAAATAAAATAATTATTCGTTGCAAGAAAGATTCAATAAGCTCATCATCGTGGACTCCACAACTGTGTCGGCAAGGTGCCACGTGGTTTCTGGTAACGGCTACTTTTTCATTGTTTGCTCCGATTTGAAAGGGTACGTTCACGCGCTTTTAGAGAGCGTTGGAAATTAGGTTTGGGGAATGGCCCAAAACTGAAAGAGATTATTTTGGTGTCAGAGACAGAAAGATGAGCTAGCGACAGACAGTTAAAGCGACGGTGTGTCCCGTGTGGAGAATGCGGTTTTTTGGTGGGAATGGGCCACGTGGAGCACCACGCTTATCGTGTCCGGCCATTTTTCTAAATTATTTTTAGTATTATCCCCAGCCCCCATGAAAATTTATTTTTAGTATGTAAATAATAATATTTTGCGTGTAAATGTAAATATCAGTTATTCGTTTGTACTTTTAGTAGTTTGGCAGCTAATTAAGAACGTAAATAAAATCAATCATCTCCCTTGACCTTGAATCAATCAATCAACTTGTTCTTCGACTATTAATAATCATTTACGCGTACAACATATTACCCTTTTTATTTTAAAAAATTTATGATAAAAATTAAGTTTACTTTCTATTGTTCATATAAAATTAAAGGGTTTCCTTTTTGTCATTTGACATGACAAGAGCACTTTCCTACACACACAAATTAAGTGTAGGTCCCACGCTTAAAAAAAAAGTCAGACTAAAGTCATGATACGACGTCGTATCCTTGTTGCAGGAATGAACAGTGTCATTCCTGCAACATGATTCTTATATTTCCCAAAATTAAATTGGCATTTCACCACACCAAAAAAAAATAAAAAAAGTTGGCATTTCAAACTGGACATTTGAAGGAGCCCCCGTTTTTAAAATTTAGTCCAAACCACCCATGTTAAGAGGAACAACTGAACAGGTATGATTTCCTTTTATTAAAGACTGTTAGATTATCGTAGAATTTGTTTACTATTTTATTTTAAAAAATATATTGTGTTAGGTTCAACCAAATCTGAAAATAAAAAAAATAAAATAAAATAAAAAAAGAGACTAAGGGCATGTTTGGATGAGATTTTTTTCGGTCAGAAGTTACTTTTTTTTTTTTCAAAAAAAACACTTTTATTTTAAAGTGCATTTAGATGCTATTTCTAAAAAAACAGAAGTCATAAAAAAAATCACAAACTTACTTTTTTTAGAAGTTAAAAATTTTAGATTCTCAAAAAAGTAACTGTCAAAAGCTATTTTTTTTTCAAATTATAAATATTTTTTAAAAAATATAAATAGTTTTAACTTTTATAAAAAATACTTTTAAAATAAGTAAGGCATTAAAGTAAATTTTTTTAAAATGCAATCCAAACGTACTCTAAGTTAGGAAGTAGGAAGCTTGTTGAGTTGTTGCATGAAATCCCCTGGTTTAAGTATCAAGATTATGTACTAAAAAAAATGTATCGATATTAATACAATAAAATAAAAAAAAATACTAATCACACGTACTTATATATAGGATCCTCAGACACGATCACAAACATACTTCAAGAAGTTACGGTTTTCATGTACTTACAGTAAGATCTTCTGTATCTCCCAAAAGGATCTTAAATGAGTACGGCCAGATTTCGGCAACAGCAACGATATAAATAATTTATATATTATCATTTGTAGAATAATCGCCATCAGAAAAGTTAAGACATTGATAATTATTGTCTTGACAAAAAATCCCAGGGAGATGTTCGTAGATAACGTTTGTGTGGCTGTGGGAATTGAACAACGATCCCCATGTTAGAAGTTAATAGGAGAAGGATACGGTGTGGACCCAATTGTCTTGATATTAAAATCCTAAGTGGGGTCGGAGCATGCAGAAAGTTAATCAAGACATTAAAATTGTGAACAGAAAATTAGATGGCATTCCCCGAAATAGTAGACGTTCTTTTTCACAATAATTTTATGTTCCCCGAAATAGAATTTCTAACCCACCTGGATTAGATCTGTTTCTATTTTCATCAACGATATCTCGGAGATACATTTTATAAATGCATGTTATAAGTGGGACCATGATTCATGAAAACACTTTTTTTTATCTTTCGTCAAGTTTTCCTTGGACCATTGACGCGGATTGTTAATTTGTTACAAAAATAAAATATGAAAAACTAAACCTTTTTTTTTTTTTGGTATCAAAAACTAAACCCTTTCTTTGGACATTCAAATGTTAGAATCTAATTACATTATTTTTAAATATTTTTAATTAATATAATTTTTTAAAATCTTAATCGTTAGTATATTAGTTTTTTTAATATTTTATTATTAAATCAATCTCTTAAGAATTTAATTTATCACTTAATTTTTCATTTTATATGATTAAATTTACTTTTTTGTGTTGTTATTTTAGTTTTCTATAAAGATAAATTTTAATTATTGAGAGACTAATTTTGTGATAATTTAAAAAAAAGACTGATAATATTTTAAATATTTCAATGAATAATTTAATAATAAAAATATTATAAAAAAATTAAAGTGATATCACGACAAAAATTCAGCCATTTGTGGGGATCATATTTCCATATTATGGGGTCTTTGATCCTCACAAAGTATATTCGTGACATCCACACCAACCCCTAATTTTGTTTGCGTCATAATATATTTTGTGGTGTTTTTATGTGCAAACGTCAATGCTAGGTGGTTAACGTGGCTATCTAAAGACTAAAGCCAATAAGAAGAATGTCATTGTGGCCAAAAATCAAATAAAAATATAAAAAATTTAAGTTTTAATACCTGCTTGGTTTTTTTTTAAGCTTCTTTTATTCTACAAGGAGGAGTTAGGCAAAATATACTTTTATAAAATCTCTTATAAAAAATGATTTTTTATAATGAATAGAAAAAAGCTATAGCCCAAAAGTTTCCAAGGAAAGTTTTTTTTAAAGATGGATGTCTATTTTTTTAACTCTTCGTATTTATTTTTTATTAATGTCTTTATTTTAAGTTTATATTTATAAATTTTATTTTCTATCCCAATAACAAATCATTTGATCTTTTACTCTTCTCCTCTCTTATAAAATGCAGAGCATGTTACCAGGATATTCGTACTGAAGGGAGATTTTACACACTAAGTTGTCGTTGATTCATCTCCTATTTATATTTTAGATTATAATTTATATTAAATAAATAATTATATGTGGAGCATTTAAAAATTCACATGTGCCAAAGAAAGTGGTTCTTCACCATCTTTTCCTTTAGTTGCCTCTTTTTTTTTTCAAATTATGATGGTTAATAATGAAAATGAAAGAAAATTATATTCTTGAATAGAGTTAGAAAGAAAAAGACAATAAAAAAATTGCATGCTTACGCATCGTAAATTACCACAAGGCCACATTGCATTTTGTACTAATGCTAAAGAAGAATTACAAGTACAAAAATGTTTTTAGTGGTTGTTATGGAATATTTTCATATCCTAACCACGTATCCAAGGATTTCTTAAAGCATAATTCTTCAATTATCCTAACAATATAAAACAGTAAGGCAGTTAAGGATAGAGTCCTTATTCCAACAGAAAGGAAGTTAAATCCTACTACAACTAGGAGATCTACACAAGCCCAAGAGATAACCCTTATAAATAAGAGGTTAAAGACCTCAGGTATACACTTCTAACCTATTTACTAATACTGCCAACACTGCGCACACACCCACGTCTTGGCTATAAGCCTATTGCTTGTGCGCAGTGATTGAGACATCGACTATAAGCCAAGTATACATCAGTTTATACAGTATCTCTGAGCGCATGTCAAAGAAAGTGGTTTTTCACCATCTTTTCCTTTAGTTGCCTTTTTTTTTCAAATTATGATGGTTAATAATGAAAATGAAAGAAAATTATATTCTTGAATAGAGTTAGAAAGAAAAAGACAATAAAAAAATTGCATGCTTACGCATCGTAAATTACCACAAGGCCGCGTTGCATTTTGTTCTAATGCTGAAGAAGAATTACAAGTACAAAGAGGTGAAGATGAGACAATTATGGGAAAAAACGATTACGGCAATCGAATGTAAAATGAGTAATTATAAAGGGAATTAATTTTCTTATTTTACGTGAGAATATTTTTTCATGTTAAACATAATGTATGAGTGAAGTCCATACAAAATAAGAAGATAAAAAATTAGGATGAGACTTACTTTTTAATTGTGAGTATAATATGAAAAAAATTTCTTACGTAAAATGAAAAAACTATTTCTCAATTATAAAATAAGAGGGTGTATTGGATTGGGATTTCAAAAGATTTTAATGAATTATTTTTGGACAAAAATATCCATTGGTATTCGATTAGGATTTTAAAGGACTGAAAAAAAGTCATATGGTATTCGATTAGGATTTTAAAATATTATTTTAGAGTCTATCCAAATCTGTTGGTATTCAATCAGGATTTTAAACAAAAGAAAAATAATCTTGTGGTATTCAAAAATCTAACGATTTTAATGAATTTTCTATTGATGTGAATTTCGTGAGACTTTTTATTGAGAAATATAAATAGGATTTCTCTCTCACAATCTCATCATAACCCCTAGGATTTCTTGAGATTTCTCTATTGTAGTGTTTTCTTATTTCTTTGATGGGTTGACCCACTTAAAATCAGGTTCTGCTATTGGAGCTTCGTCAAAGCTCAAAAACAATATATTTTGAGCGATTTTCATCACAAAACAACACAGAAAAACAAGCCAACAATATTATAATATAATCCATCTCAAAAATAACAGAATTTTTAGAGCTTTTGGAAGTTTAAAAAATGATTTTTCAAGTTATGGGTCACGATTTTTCTTGGCACAAAAATGTATGATTTTTGTATTAAAAATATCATAAAATTCTCAAACCG